GGCGGCGGCGGCGGCGGCGGCGGTGGCGACCGAAGAGAATTTTCTTGCGAAGACGCGACGCGACGCGACGGTGAAACGAGCATCGAATGATCGGCGAGAAACGGAGAATCGACATCGAGAATGCCCGATAGCTCGGACCAACTGTCGTCGCCGAACAGCGAGTGTAACAGCCAGATCGGTGGCATGCACCGAAACGCGTCCACCGGACAGTTTGACGACTCGTCGATGCCCGGGCTCGCGTTAACGCATCATTCGCATTCGCAAAACCTGACGACGGCATCGAACGGTAGCCTGCAATATCCTCAAGAGTTGACCACTTGCAGTTCCGCGAATACGTCTACCAATATCGGAAACATCGGCGGACTTTCTCTGGGAATTACGGCCAGTAACTATACGCCGGATCAGATATCTTGTATGTGCAAGGCGTTATCGCAGAGACAGGATATCGAGAAGCTCACGAGGTAACCATCGTTCCTTGTTTCGTATCTTTTACCTTCTTCTCTTTTCCTCTCTTCTCTTCTCTTCTCTTCTCGTCTCTTCTCTTCTCTTCTCTTCGCTTCTCTTCTCTTCTCGTTTATTTTCTTTGCCTTTGTCTTCCGTTTTACCGATTCGACTGGTTCTCGAACGATCGCGATCTCTTTATCGTCGAGAAATTCGCGTTTCAGCCGCGGCCATTTCATGATTTTTCATCGACGTTGTTCGCGGACTCGCGGTCGATTCGACGCGACGCGACCCGTCGGTCGAAGCGGATCGTATCTAAAAGGAAGACACGATGTGTTTGGATGACAGGCTCCTATGGTCTTTGCCGCCCGGCGAGTTGCTTCGTCGCGACGAGAACGTGTTGATAGCGAGAGCTACGGTGGCCTTTCATCGAGGCGCTTACCACGAGCTCTACTCGATTCTGGAGAGCCATCCGTTTTCACCCGATCGACACCCGGAGCTACAGCAGATGTGGTTCAAGTCGCATTACAGCGAGGCAGAGAAGATCCGCGGCAGACCGCTCGG